AGGCCGATGTGCCTCCAGAGCTCCGCGGACTTTGCCTCCTGCCAGGCCACCTCCCCCGCTCGACCCCCGCAGGCCCGACCTCCCTCTGCTCCGTGGACGGCCCGTGCTCCTCTGCTGCCGCCTCCATCTCCCGCAGCTGCCCGCCCAGCGCCCCCTGCCAGGTGGACTGCCGCTCGAGCCCGCCGCCGGCACCGTCGAGCGAGCCCGCCGAGGAAGGAACGGTCGCGACGGGGGGCGCGCGACGCCTCCCCGAAGCCCTCCTCCTCCTCGGACGCCCTCCCGCGGCGCCCCAGGCCACGGCCGCGCCGCCTGGCCTCGCGCGCCGTACTGGGCACCGCCTCGGCGCCCACGCCGAGCTTGGCAGGCTGGGCCCAGTCGCGGCAGGCCTTGGCGCCGCCCGCACGGGCGAGGCAGCCCCCCCGCGCGGCCCGCCGACGCCTGCTCGGCGAGGAGCGGCCTCGCGAAGCGCTCCCCGCCCGCCGACCTCGCCTCCGACCGCCGGGCCCCCGCCGCCCCCGAGGCCGAAGAGCACCTCTTTGCGCCCGTGCGGATGGCAGCCGCGGCGGCGAGGTGCTGGCGCCCTCCGCCGCCCTCGGCCGCGCTCGCCGTGGCCGCCCGCAGGAGCGAGGCAAGCGCCGCCAGCGCCCGGCTGCGCTCGACCGTCGCACTTGCCTGTGCCGCGCAGGAGTGGAAAGAGACGGAGCCGCCCTCCCCCCACGAGGGAGCGAGAGACGGCGCGCGCGGTTCTCGGGACAACCGACGGCATCTGTGGGCATTTTGCCCCAACCTTACTCTACCCGAACCTAGCCTACTCGATTCTTCTCCATCCTACATGATTAAAGTAGACTCCAACTAGATTATACTCCTACTCGACTTTAGTATGATACTGGAGAAACCCCATCATGATATGGTTAGGCCTATAGGGTTATAGGAGCATAGGGCTATAGGTATATAGGGCTTTTAGGGCTATAGGGCTATAGGCATGCCGATATATCATATAGAGCTATAGGACTAGAGGGCTATAAGGCTATAGGGCTATTGGGCTATGGGGCTACAGGGCTACAGGGTCATAAGGCTATGTGGTTGTAGGGCGATAGGGCGGTAGGACAATAGGGCGATAGGGCTATAAGGCTATGGGGTTATATGGCTATAGGGCCATAGGGCTATAGGCCTATAGGGCTGTAGGCATATAGGGCTATAGGGCTATAAGGCTATAGGGCTTTAGGGCTATAGGCCTGTAGGGCCATAGGGCTATAGGGCCGTAAGGCCATAGGGCTATAGGGCCGTAGGGCCATAGGGCTATAGGGCTGTAAGGCTATAGGGCTATAGGACCATAGGACTATAAGGCTAGAGGGCGATAGGGCTTTATGGCTATAGGGCTTTTTGGCTATAGAGCTATAGGGTTATAGGGCTATAGGATTATAGGGCTATAGGGCTATAGGGCTATGAGGCTATTAGGTTATAGCGCTGTAGGGCTATAGGGCTACCCTGGCACCCGGGCACCCGGGCGTGCCGCCGAAATCGGTGCTATACCTCACCTAACAATATGAATCCGCCAGGACCCCTACAGAGGCAAGCTCTCATTGGGGCATAACAGTATATACCCTATTATGCTCTACTCTACTCATCTTCACTACTCCACTCTGCTCTGCTCTCTTCGACTATATTTTAGTAGACGCTCCTCGACCATCTACCCTAGTCTACTCTACTCCACCCTACTCTAGATATCATACCCCTACTCCTACTCTACTGTACTCGACTCTACTTCCCTCCACTCTGTTATACCCGTCTCTACTCTACCATTTCCTTTGCTCTACTCGGCGCTTTTCCACCCTAGTATACACTGCCCTACCCTAACCGACTCTACTCCACTCTACTCCTATTATATGCATACTCTTCTCTACTCTGGTCTACCCTACTCTCTACTCTGACCCACTCAACTCCGCCATCTACCCTACCCATTCCGCTCTACTCTACCCTACTCTACTCGACCCTTCCCTACTGTACCTTGACCTGCTCTGTTCTGATCGATTCTCCCCATGGCCCTCACTCGTGTGTGCTTACTCCTACTCTTCACCCCAGCCGGCCGATGGGGGCCCCATCTGGGACCCTTCATCATACGTGCGAAAAGTAATACCATGTTTACGATTGCAGTTTCATGGTGGACGTTACGTCGTCCATGTTGCAAAAGTGTGGTTGCAAAAGCGTGGCAGGAATGAGATGGGGCGCACATCGCGCGAAAGACCGAAATGTTGCTCTCGCCTCGGCGCCGCTTTCGTTTTTCTAGAGAACTGAGGTGCCGCCCGGGCGTGGCGCACATGCTCCACACACGAACTCGTCGACGCGCGAGCGGAGGGACGTGTAGCTCTCGCCTCGGCGCCGCGCAGAATTCGCCTGAAAGTGGCGTTCCCGCATCGACGCGACGCACATCTTTCCCTCGCCAACTTTGGGGAGGCCCGCGCGTGTGGACGGCCTGTCGCCCTCGCCCAGGCTCCGTGCGCACTTCGCTCGGAGGTGGTGCCCCGCGCGGGCGCAGCGCCTTGCTCGTTCGCCGAATCGCGGGAAGGCGAGAGCGGCAGCGGAGCGCCGCGCAGCTTGTCAGCGGAAGCGGCGCGGCAGGGTCGCGCCGCGATGCCGCGGAGGTGACCCCGGTGCGGGCGCTCAAGGTGGAGTGCCGCCGGTGGCCCAGACTCGGCCGTCAGGGAACGATCTGCCCCATCGGAGACGTCGAGATCTTTCGCCAGAAGCGGTTCCGCAGTACTCTTAGTTTCCGTTGCTTCGCTATCTGGAAGCTCTACGAGTCAAGTAGTCCCGTGTTGCTCTTAGCTCCCGCTGCTTCGCTGTCTGGGAAGTTCTACGAGTCTGCAGTTTCTCATGAGCACATGATCGTTCAAGGCCGAACGATCCACGGGTTGCCAGAGGCCAACGCCGACGTCATCCCAACGCGAACCTGCCGCAGTGCTGTGCCAGCTTGGCAACTGCCTGGTCCTCGCCGCGCCCAGCGGGAGTTGGACAAGCCGCTTCCGCGCCCACGCCGCACGCTGCAGCTCTCCCTCCTCGCCAGGTCGTCGGCACGGGGGCCGCGCGCGAGCGCCGTCCGTCTGCGAGGTGGGAACGCGTTCCGGTTGTAAGAGTAGCAAGTTGTGCCACGATCGATTCGTGTGCTGTGGAAGGGAGGGTGGGATTAAGACAAGGCCCTCCGACGCGATCGACCTGGCCAACCTGACGCTACTCCTGGCCCCATTCCATTATACCCCTGCTCTGCTCTACCCTGCTCCTACTATGCGCTGCTCTGCTTGTCTACTCGACCCTCCTTTATCATACCCTGCCCTGTTCTATTATGCTCCACTCTTCTTCTGAATTTGACGATTGTTGTGCGCTTGTTGGGACGCCACTGGAACAGCCACCGAGAAGCATTGCAATAGCAGAGGAAGCCAGTGCAATTGCAGAGGAGGCCATTGCAACAACAGAGGAAGCCACTGCAACCATTTGTCGGCGGCGAGCGAGGGGGGCAAGTGAGAAGGAGAATGCCTTCTCAGAAGGCGGCGGGACTTCTCAGAAGCCCTCGCGCATTCTGAGAGGTTTTTTTTTGTTTTCGGGGAAGGCTTGGAAAACTTCTCGAAATGCCAGAGGACTTCCGAGACTTCTGAGAAGGCACGTCCCTTCTCGCTTCCCCCCCTCGCTCGCCGCCGACGTTGGGCCGAACTGGGGGGGAACCGAAATGGGGGGGGAACCAGTGGACCAATTCTTTACGCACTCCCATATGGCAGCCTACCGCGCAGACCTCACGACTGGCGCCGCCGACCCTGGAGAGGCGGGACCTCCCCCGGCGTCCCCCTCTGGCGACCCCCCCGCCCCCAGGACCCCCAGGGGGTGGGCACTCTGACCCGGGCCCCCCCCCCTAGGACCCCCCCCCCAGGGACCCCTCCCCAGAACCCCGCCTCCCTCCCCCGCAGGGAAGGGATATAGCGGGACGCTGCTTCCCTTCGACTTCACTACGACGTTCCTTTTCCTTGTTTCTCTGTTTCCATGGAACTGACGACGACGACGACGACGACGACGACGACAGCGTCTTCGGCACGCCGAACAGACGGCGGGTTTGCAGAACAGTCCTTCGGATGCCTGATGTTTGACGTGCCTACTGCACGGTGGGTGCGCGTCCGTGCTGCGTCGACGCGGCGGCGCCCCTTGGCGCGGGGGAATTTCAAGGTGGATTGCCGCCGGCAGCCCAGAGTCGGCCAGCATCGAACGGTGCGCGATGCAGGAGAGCCGCCATTGTCCAGGGTCGAAGGATCCATGCGGTGTCGGAGCCCATCGCAGGGGTCGTCGCGGCACGAGCCCGCCGTTCTTGACGTGCCTGATGCATAGGGGGCACTCTTGGAAGGGCCTCGTCTTCGAGGATCGAAGGAGTTGCCGTCTCTTCCTCGGCGGAAGGCCCACGGAGCTAAAACGAGGCCGCTTTTCCGCCAGCAGAAGGTCGGCGGAAGCTGGCAGAAGTAAAAACCCACACGGTAGTTTAGATCCCCCCACGAGACCTCTTGCGCCGATTGATCATTGGGGGTAGTGTGCTACGGTACGGAAGTAAAAACTTGCCTCCCCAGAGACGGCAGGGTTTTTTGGTTCAGGGGTTTCCAAAACCCGCCATATGTACAGTCGGGGCGCTGAAGAAGGAACCCTCTTCGTTGGGGAGGGGCGCCGTGTTCCTCCATGTTTTCACAGTTTGCCTTAGGCTGTCCTTAGGTCTTCGATGGGAAATCGAAGTTTAGCTTATGGAAAACAGTGGCCTCGTTCCTTAGCCTTATGTCCTCAGGTCTTCGATGGTAAGTCGAAGCTCTCTCTTATGGAGAACGGGGGCCTCGTTCCTCAGCCTTCGGTTGTCCTCAGGTCCTCGAGGGGAAGTCGAAGCGCACCTCATGGAAAACAGGGGCCTCGTTCCTTGGTCAGGGTTCCTTAGGTCAGCGCCCCGACTGTGTATTTGACGCCCCTCCTGCCCTCGAGAGGCGGCCACGCGGCTCCAGGCCATCCGCCGGGCCGGCCTGGCTCGCCGGGCCGCGGCGGAGCGGCGGCGGCGGCTGGAGCGGCCGCAGGCTCGCCTGCCTCAGAGGGGGGGCCGCTTGAGACACTGGCAGTTGGCCTTCGGGGGGCCCCTCCTCCTCCTGCTCCTCCTCCTCCTCCTCCTCCTGCTCCTCCTCCTCCTCCTCCACCTCCTCCTGCTCCTCCTGCTCCTCCTCCTCCTCCTCCTCCTCCTCCTCCTCCTCCTCCTCCTCCTCCCTCCTCCTCCCCCTCCCCCTCCCCCTCCCTGCTCCTGCTCCTCCGCCTCCTCCTCCTCCTCCTCCTCCCTCCTCCTCCTCCTCCTCCTCCTCCCTCCTCCTCCCTCTCCTCCTCCTCCTCCTCCTCCTCCTCCTCCTCCTCCTCCTCCTCCTCCTCCTCCTCCTCCTCTGGTAGTTGGCCTTCGGGGGGCCACCTGGCCGCCACGGCTGGACGCGGCGCGGAACAGTGGTGCGTTTGGACCCCACGAGGGGTCCGGGGGCCGACTTGGAATGCCCAGTGTCTCAAGCCGCCCTGCTCCGATTGTTGTCGCCGCCGCCCTCGTCGTCACCGAGCGGCCGATCGTTGATGGACCTATGGGTCGACCGCGTTCCAGAAGGGGCCTCGCCTTCGGCGCGTCTGTCACCCTCGGCGGAAGCCGGCAGAGGTGGGGCGGCGGCGGGTCCGCCGGCGGGAAGCGGCGGAAGCAGCAGCGAGACATCGGCATGTTTGGACTCAGGGCTTCTGCGGATTCGGGGCTTCCAGGATCGATCGATTGGGTGCAGCATGTTTGGGCTCAGGATGCTTGGATTCAGGGCTTCTTTGGATGCAGGGCTTCTTTGGATTCAGGGCTTCTTTGGATTCAGGTGTTCAGGGATTCTTTGGATTCAGGGTTTCCAGGGTCGGCCATCGATCGAGGATCGGGGAGCAATAGGCGATCGATCGGTCAAGGGCACAGGAGGAAGAGGCTCGTCATCGTCGCCGTCGTCGTGATTCGACAGATCGATCGGAGATTGAGGAGGACGAGGACGAGGAGGAGGAGGAGGAGGACGAGGAGGAGGAGGAGGAAGAGGAGGGATGGCGGCGGCGACGGCGACGACGACGGCGAGCAACGACGACGACGGAGACGGCGACGGTGACGGCGACGACGCCCGCCGTCGCCAGCGGCGATAGGGGGGGTCCAATCCCCCCCCCACACCCCCAAGATTTTGGAGGGAGGGGGGAGATAAGAGAGGGGGGGGGGATTCTTGGGATCTGCGCCTGGGAGGAGGGGTGCAAGAGGTTCCAGTGAGGCAGGGAGGGGTTTCTGGAGTGGGCCACCGTTCCAGATGTATTTATGTTTTTATACATGTATTACATCTGGATCGTACGTACTTGTATTTATACACCAGTGGACATGTGGATCGTACGTACATGTATTTATACACATGTGTGTATATTCATCTTCTTATGTATACATTGTAATAGGGCCAGGGACCCCGCACAGGGCCCGTCCCGCCCCAAGCCCCTCACCCCGAACGAATTTTGGATTCACTGGGCTGCTTAGGAAGCCCCCTCGGGCTGCTCGGACGCCCTTGCAAAGGATTCCTTCGGTCCTCTGGCCTCCTTGGAGGATCCAGAGAGGCCTCCCATATTGCCCAAGATAGCTCGTCGACAGCTCTAACGCACACCAAAATGCCCAACAAGGCCTCTAGACGGCCCAAGAGGCACCTAAAACGCACCCACACGCGTCCACGAGGCCTCCGGATTGGGCCCACAGCTCGAAATCGTCCCTTTCCATTGGGTTTCTGAAAGATTTCGGCGTCCTCACATTTCTCACGCTTACACGATCCGTGACGGCCCAAGAAATGCCAAACATTGCCCCAAGAGCGACTCAAAACGACCCACGCGGGCTCCAAGACGGCACATGAAGCCCCCCTTAAGGCCTCCAAAACAACACAAGAGAGCCCGTAGGCGGCCCAAGAGAACCTCAAGAATGCCCCCAACACGACCAAAACGGCCGGCCAAGGACAGCCTCAAGAAGGCTTCAAAAAGGCCCAGGAAAAGGAACACGAATTCACAGTTCGTACCTACCCCCTCAACATCACCCCATGATCTTCCCAGAGGCTCCCGCGGTGCCCCCGTGACGCCCCAAGAGGCCCTTAAAAGCCCCCAAAAAAGTTGAAGGACCCACAATCCCACATTTACAACCTTCCGCGTGGGATGAACCCGAACATCTTCCCGGAGAATCCCTCGACGCCTTCACAACGTCCGAAGCCTCCAAGAGGCCCTCAGCAAGCTCCAGAAAATACACGAAAGCCGACAATCATCGAATCCTTTTCAGGTGTTCCTGATTCTCGACCTCTCGGAGCCCAGCTCTCAGAGTCTTCATCCGTATCAGTTCCAGGCTCCGTGCCATGATTTGCGATCCTCATGCAGTCGCCACGCTGGATTGCAGCCGCGGCTGGACTGCAGCTCACAAGGCACTCTGCCATCTTCCCATGGCCAAGCCAGCCCGCTCTGGGCAAAGCACACATATCACGGAAGTGTAGGGGGGCACGAGACGCGAGAGAGAGAGAGAGAGCGGCATGGCGGGGGCAGAGACGCTACGAAACCCAGGAGCGCACGATGCAGTCATGATCGTCTTTTTGTATCCACGCCTTGTCGATCTGCGAAACTGTCGCCACTTTCGAGGCCTGCTGGGTGGCCCAGCACAGTGGGTACTCACCGCAGATTCAAATTAGACCTCGCCATCCCTGGGGGGCTGCGATCTGCGAAACCGTCGCCACTTTCGAGGCCTGCTGGGGGGCCCAGCACAGCGGGTACTCACCGCAGATTCAAATTAGACCTCGCCATCCCTGGGGGGCTGCGATCTGCGAAACTGTCGCCACTTTCGAGGCTTGCTGGGGGGCCCAGCACAGTGGGTGCTCACCGCAGATTCAAATTAGACCTCGCCATCCCTGGGGGGCTGCGATCTGCGAAACTGTCGCCACTTTCGAGGCCTGCTGGGGGCCCCACCACAGTGGGTACTCACCGCAGATTCAAATTAGACGCCGCCATCCCTGGGGGGCTGCGATCTGTGAAACTGTCGCCACTTTCGAGGGCTGCTGAGGGGCCCAGCACAGTGGGTACACACCGCAGACTCAAGTTAGACCTCGCCATCCCTGGGGGGCTGCGATCTGTGAAACTGTCGCCACTTTCGAGGGCTGCTGAGGGGCCCAGCACAGTGGGTACACACCGCAGACTCAAATTAGACCTCGCCATCCCTGGGTGGCTGCGATCTGTGAAACTGTCGCCACTTTCGAGGGCTGCTGAGGGGCCCAGCACAGTGGGTACACACCGCAGACTCAAATTAGACGCCGCTGTCGTCCTTGTTCTCCTCCTGCAGTCACCTTCCCTCTGCTGCTGCCGTGCTGATGGTTCGGCTTCCCGCACGTTTTTCTCCTGCTCTGCGTTCCCGACTCCCCATGTCCTCTTCGAGCCTGTAGCTGTCGCCCCTCGTTCTTGTATGGTTCTCCTGCGCATCATGCCATAGGCGCGTGTCCCAAGTAGCTTACACATCAAGTTGATTGTCCATGCAAGTTTCGGCCAACTCCTCGCTTCCATTGATACAAATGGGTTGGGTACGTCACAGGGTAATTTGTTTCACGCCTTGGGTTTTGGATACGCCAAAGCTCGTCTGTTCTGTATCCGTTCTCCCCGCGCGCTCAGGCGCGTACACAGGTATGTGTACATGCATGTATACGTTCATGTGTGTGTACACATAGACAACTACAAGTAGACATTATGCATGTGCATGCGCACACATAGCTCTACAACTGTTCATAGTGTGTACACATACATACATACATACATACATACATACATACATACATACATACATACACACATACACACATACATACATACATACCCATATACATACGTATGTATGTACATACATACATACATACATACATACATACATACATACATACATGCATACGTGTATACCTACATGGATACATGGATACGTGCATGCATACATACATGCATGCTTACATACATGCATGCGTACACACATACATCAATATGCACGATGTGCATGTGCAACGTGATTGCACGCGCGCGTGTACACATGCATGCGCGTATTCATGCGCGAATGCGTACGCGCACGCACGTCGCCTGCGCGCGAGACTCAAAGGACCAAGGTGATCGGCGCGAGGCGCCAGTGCAGTCTTGCATATGTGTGTATGGGTTGAGGGGGGAGCTCTGCTTCTGGATTGTGAACAGAAGTCCCTCTTTCCCTACCTAGGCTCTGCCTAGAAGGGTTCTTACTCTCTGGGCTTAAAGTGGCCGGGCAGTGGAAAGCGTCCCCGGCAGTTCCCCCAGTATCCGGCCCGCGGTTCCCCCAGTTACGTCCCCTTATCTTAGCGTTGCTTATCTCCTCTTAGCTTTGCTTAGTTCATCTTAGCCTAGCTTGTCTTCATCTTAGCTGCTGCAGTAGCATAGCATAGCATAGCATCACATAGCCGAGCATAGAATAGCATAGCATAGCGCAGCATAGCATAGCATAGCATAGCATAGCGCAGCTTAGCATATCATAGCATGTCATGACATAGCTTAGCATGGCACAGTGCAGCATGACATAGCATAGTTTAGCATAGGATATCATAGCATAGCGCAGCACAGCATAGCATAGCATAGCGCAGCATAGCATGGCATAGCATAGCGTAGCATAGCATAGCATAGCAACAAATGCTGCTTTCCTAGGGGATCCAACTTCTACGTACGGTCGCACTGGGGTAATTCTAATATGGCGAGCTTGGCGACGGGAGAAATGTGTTCCTGATGTCACCATGAAGCCCTGCGGCTCAAGCATACAGGTCTCAGGTATCGAGCGAGCATGGTCAGACAGTTGTTTGACGTCTGCTTGCGATCGTCCTGTTAAAAGGTGTTTTCCATGTTGTGCAGGAAGAGGGATTCACTGAGCTTAGTCACGTGATTCTGGGGCCCATGTTTCAGCCACGTTCGGAGAACCACTCTGCTCCGTTGCCAGGGAGACGCAAGATTCGTTTCACCTGCACTGGCCAGAGGCTTGCGTTTTGGCTCGCCCGCTGCAGGTGGGCCACCGCGCGATTCCGGGATTGCCTTATGCATGTGGGTGCGTTTCGTTGTCCGTTATGGGGGGAAGCTTGGGAGGAAAGACAACGACGACGACGACGACGACGACGACGACGACGACGACGACGACGACGACGACGACGACGACGACGACGACGGCGGCGGCGGCGGCGGCGGCGGCGACGGCGACGGCGACGGCGACGGCGACGGCGACGGCGATGACGACGGCGACGACGACGGCGATGACGACGGCGACGACGACGGCGACGGCGACGACGGCGACGGCGACGGCGACGGTGACGGTGGTGGCGGCGGCAGCCCCTCGCAGGACTCCGCCCCGCAGCGCCCGCCGAAGCGGCCCCTCAGCCCCAGCGAGCGGGAGCAGGCGGTCACCCGGCTGCAGGCCATCCGCAGGGCCTCCCTGGCCCGCCGGGAGGCCGCAGAGCTGCGGCGGCTGCAGGCCTCCGCCGCCGCTCGCCGCCACCGATCGGCCGATGAGGATCGAGGACGGAGGAGGCAGAGGAGGAGAATCGAGGAGGAAGGGAGGGAGGGAGGGAGGGAGGGAAGGAGGAGAAGCAGCATCGAGGAGGAGCATCGGGGAAGATCGAAGAGGAGGAGCAGGAGGAGGAGGAGGAGGAGGAGCAGGAGCAGGAGCAGGAGGAGGAGGAGGAGGAGAAGGAGGAGGAGGAGGAGGTGGAGGAGGAGGAGGAGAAGGAGGGAGGAGGAGGAGGAGGAGCAGGAGCAGCAGGGAGGAGGAGGAGGAGGAGCAGGAGCAGCAGGAGGAGGAGGAGAAGAAGAATCGAGGAGAAGGGAGTGAGGGAGGGAGGGAAGGAGGGAGCAGCATCGAGGAGGAGCATCGGGGAAGATCGAAGAGGAGGAGCAGGAGCAGGAGCAGGAGCAGGAGCAGGAGCAGGAGCAGGAGCAGGAGCAGGAGCAGGAGGAGGAGGAGAGGAGAGGAGGAGGAGGAGGAGGAGGAGGAGGAGGAGGAGGAAGAGGAGAGAGGAGGAGGCGGAGGAGGAGGAGGAGGAGGAGGAGGAGGAGGGGGGGGGAGGAGGAAGGAGAGGAGGAGGAGGAGGAGGAGGAGGAGGAGGAGGAGGAGGAGAGCAGCAGGAGCAGGAGCAGGAGCAGGAGCAGGAGCAGGAGCAGGAGGAGGAGGAGGAGGAGGGGGAGGAGGAGGAGGAGCAGGAGGAGGAGGAGAGGAGGAGGAGGAGGAGGGGGAGGGGGAGGAGCAGCATCGAGGAGGAGCATCGAGGAAGATCGAAGAGGAGGAGCAGGAGCAGGAGCAGGAGGAGGAGGAGGCGAAGGAGGAGGAGGAGGAGCAGGAGGAGGAGGAGAAGGAGGAGGAGGAGGAGGAGGGGGAGGGGGAAGTGGAGGAGGAGGAGGAGGAGGAGAAGGACGAGGACGCGGACGAGGACGAGGAGGAGGACGAGGACGACCAGTGCAGACCCAAGAGCCACCAGCGATGTTGGAAAAAGCCCTCCCCAAAACTCCCTCTTCCGATGCACCTACAAGGGTTCACTTCCACAGAGGGACCTGCCTCGTTGGAAGACAACCGTTTGAAGACCCTGAAGCATGCCAAAACATTATGTTCGGTATTCCAACGCCAAGGATGAACCTGACTGTTGCGTCTTGACGATCCTGAATCGCACCAGAACGCCATTCTTGGGACCTCAACTCCGCGAATCATCGTAAGTGCTGCACCTTCAAACTCGTGAATCCTTCCAAAGTATCATTTCTGGTACGTCGATCATGGGAATCCGTGAAAGGTTTGCAACTGTGTATCAAGAATGCACGCGGCGCTAAGGCGAGAGCCACATGTTGAAAAGGAACCGCCCTCAATCCGTGAAACTCTTGCAAAGTGTTTAACGAATGTGCGCGGTGCTAAGGCGGGAACCACATTTTGGAAACCACCCGCCTTCAATCCGTGAAATTCTTGCAATATGTTTAACGAATGCGCGCGGCGCTAAAGCGAGAGCCACATTTTGAAAACCACCCGGCCTCAATCCGTGAAGCTTTTGCAAATGTTTGAAACGAGTGTGCGCGGCGCTAAGGCGAGAGCCACATTTTGAAAACCACCCGCCCTCAACCCGTGAAGCTCTTGCAAATTCTGAAAAAGAATATGCGCGGCGCTAAAGCGAGAGCCACATTTTGAAAACGACCCGCCCTCCATCCGTGATATTCTTAATTTTTTTTTGAAAACGAATGTGCGCGGCGCTAAGGCGAGAGCCACATTTTGAAAACGACCCGCCCTCCATCTGTGAAACCGTTGCCAATGTTTAAGCTTCAGGGTCATCAAAAAAGGTGAGGAGTCTCAGGCGAAACGCCCAGCCCGCCCTAAAAATTGGCATTGGAGTGCGACAAGAAGGAGTTACTTATAAGGAGAAGGAATGGAGGTGGAGGAGGAGGAGGAGGAGGAGGAGGAGGGGGAAAACCTCGAAGCCGCGATCCCAGGAACACGCTGATCGTGATCCAGGGGCTCCGGGCGCGCGCCGCGCCCTGGGCTAGCTCGGGGCCGGGGCCCACCAGTTCTTCAACTGTTTCAGAGAGCGTTTACGCAGCCAGGAAGTTGAAAGGCCTTTTCCTCCTCCTCCTCCTCCTCCTCCTCCTCCTCCTCCTCCTCCTCCTCCTCCTCCTCCTCCTCCTCCTCCTCCTCCGTCTCCTCCTCCTCCTCCTCCCCCGTCCTCACCTCGTCCGAGCGCGCCGCACGCGGGGCGGAGTCGGACACCCTCGGGCGCCGCCTCTTCGGCTGTGAGACCCTCCTGGAGCCAGGGTTCCTGGGCAAGGAAGGAGAAGGGCGAGGTGCTCCCCGGGAGGCACAACGTGGCCTGGGCCCTCATGCGCGACCAGGGCCTCAAGATGGGCGGTGGGCCGCAGGCGTGGGACGAGTTCGCGCTGTCGACCTGCCTCCCATGCATGCCACCGAGCGCGCCGCCTGCGAAGCGCACCGCGAAGGTGTACTACTGGGGCGACTGGGACGCCGACCCTGGCACGACGCGCGAGGGCAACGTCGTCTTCACGGACGGTTCGGGCCCGGCCTCGTCAATGCCCGAGCCGCGGCGTTGCGGCTGGGCAGCGGCGCAGGTCTCGACGCAGGGCCTGCCCGTGCGCGCCGCGCACGGGCCTCTGCCAGGCCCCCATCCAGACGGTGGGGCGCGCGGAGAGGCACGCCCCGCTGCGGGCGCTCCTGGTCTTCTCGCCGCAGCTCGGCGGGCCCGTCGTCGACGTCGTCTTCACGGACCTGCTGGGGCTCGCCGAGGAGGCGGCCTCCTAAGACGCGGCGCTCGAGCAGGCTGGCGCGACGCACGCCACGGTCTGGCGGCGCCTGCGCGCGCTGCCCGCGCGGCCTGCGGTGCACTGGACCCCCGCGCACACTGAGCTCAAGCAGTTCCAGGAGCGCGGGCTGCACCCCCTCCTCTTCATGGGGAACATGTAGGCGGGACCTCTTCGCGAAGGAAGGGGCCAGTGCTCATGCTGTCTCGCAGGGCTACGCGGACTTCTACGGGGTCGAGATCGAGTGCCACAAGCAGGTCGCGGCCTACGTCGCGTGGACCACGCAGCGCATGCTGAAGATCCCGAGCTGGCAGGTGACGGGCTCGGCAGCGCGCCCCTGCAAGAGGCCCCCGAGCGCGCCGCCCGTGGCGGTGGTGCGGCACCAGCTGGCCCTCCTGCGTGGTGGCAGGGTCGGGCTGTGTCAGCGGTGCTGCAGATCCACGGCGGCCACCCGAGGTCCGTCGCGGGCGCAGCACCTGCGTTCTCCAAGCAGCGAGAGCGAGGAGGCGAAGCTCAAGGCGGACGCCATCATCGAGCATGTGGGGGCGACGTGGTTCCAGGTGTCAGAGGAAGGCCCGTTCGCCATGGCGGCGCTTGACGCGTCCCAGGGGCTGCTGGACCCAGGCGACCTGGCCGAGGCCCCGTCGACGCTCTGGGCCCTGGGCGACACGGCGGTGGACGTGCAGGGCTACCGCTTGCGCAGGGCTGGCCCCACCATTTTCTGCCAGGTGTGCGTGGCCTGGTCAGACAGCGGCACGTCGAGAGCGCTGCTGGAGCCGTGCCGAGGCATGCCCACTGGCGAGGGTCGTGCTGCGCGGACCTACCTGTCCCACCTGCGGTCGCGGCTTCGGAGGCTGGAGGCAGGCAGGCACCCGAAGAGCGGAGAGGCCATTGCCTGGCGGGGAGTTGCTGGCTGAAGCGGGGGTCGGGGCAGAGTCTCGCGCATGCGTTGAAATCGTGCCGCCTGGAGCGAGTCGCTCTTCGGGTTCGAGGTGCCGTGGGCGATTGGCCGCGGCACTGTCGGCAGGCGTCTGATCGGCCGACGGTCGGCATGCCCTGGCGGCGGCGTGCTGGCCCGCAGGCGGTGCGCCGGAGAGGAGGCGGCCTGCTGGCGCCCAGGCGCCTGCCGCCTGCGGAGAGAGCTGGGGGGGAGCTCCCAGTCCAGGCGGGCCGAGCCGCGGCCGCGGCCTGATGCCGCTCTGGCCATCAAGGGCCGAGCGGGGCGGCGTGCGACGTGCAGGTAGGCGACTTCGGCGACCCGATGCCTCTCTGAGGCCGCCCGTTCGGGCATCGCGAGCGTCTGTCGGGCCCCCGTCGGATGCCTCTCGCCGCCATCTTCCGTCATCCCCTCCTCCTCCCCCTCCTCCTCCTCCGCCTCCTCCTCCTCCTCCTCCTCCTCCTCCTCCTCCCCCTCCTCGCCCTCCAACTGGAGCCGGAGAGGAGAATCCGAGAGAAGAGCCGGCGAGGAGAGTCGGAGAGGAGGGTCGGCGAAGAGAGTCGGACAGGGAAGTCGGACAGATGAGTCGGCGAGGAGAGCCAGAGAGCAGAGCCAGAGAGGGGAGTCGGGCAGGAGAGTCGGAGAGGAGAGTCGGCGAGGAGAGTCGGCGAGGACACTCGGCGAGGAGAGCCCGAGAGGAGAGCCCGAGAGGAGAGTCGACGAGGATGGTCGGCGAGAAGGAGTCGGAGAGGAGAGTCGGCGAGGATGTCAAACAGAAGAGTCGGCGATGAGAGACGGCGAGGAGACTCAGCAAGTAGAGTCGGCGAGGAGAGTCTGCGAGGAGAGTCGGCGAGAAGAGTCGAACAGGAGAGTCGGCGAGGAGTCGGAGAGGAAACTAGGCGAGGAGAGTCGGATGGGAGAGTCGGAGAGAAGAATCGGCGAGGAAAGTCGAAAAGAGGAGAGTCAGCGAGGAGAGTGGGAGAGGAGAGCCGGCGAGAAGAATCGGCGAGGAAATTCGAAGAGGAGAGTCGGTGAGGAGAGTCGGAGAGGAGAATTGGCGAAGTGAGTCGGCGAGGAGAGTCTGCGAAGAGAGTCTGCGAGGATTCGCAGGACGGTCGAGGAGGCAACAGAGAACGAACAAACATGTTGTTGTGCTATGAATCACGTGTCACTCAAATTCGGCCGACACTGCGGCTTATGCTTGGTCCCGTGTGCATCGGCGACTCTGCTGCTCCTGGAGGCTTTTCAAAGCG